AGACAGGCAGGTGTGATACTTGAACACATGACATGTTATGATGTCTGTTGATTGCCAAATGTTAGACAAAAAAATGAGCATGTATTTACAAAACCCAACATCTCTATATATACACACACAATGAGCCGTGAAGGCGGGATCTGCAAATGAACCAGCCGTTACACTTGAGTGCACACCCACCCGCTCTGACTGGGTTCGGTATCCCGGCTGCTTCGTTTCTTGGGAAGTAAACCCAAGTACAAAATATTGCACTTTTGATTTGCGATTATACGCTTATAATTTTGTTTATTTGTTTTTTCATAATCAGCAAAGCATATTATATGTCATGAAGAAGTGATAATTGTGTTTTAATTATGTTTGATTTTTTGGTTGCATGTGACCTTTAATCATTTTAAATAAATTTGGGCATTTTGACTACCCACCTAGAGCAATTTGACCAAAACCTCGGGGCAATTTGACTAAATTTGCTGGGGCAATTTGTAGCGGGGGCAATTCGACTGGCAATCGGACTTTAATCTAATCTAAAAATACCACTGACAGGATGTTGTAACAGAGAATGATGGAGTATTAATGAATCTGGTGGGTACTTCTTCCTTCTTTAGCCAAGCTTTGGGATTTTCATACCTCATGTGTGCATGTCTCTTTCATATGCATCCGACTCGGAATGATCGGAGCATTTCTCCTGCCTAAATCTGTCTCTTTACTTGGGAAATGGAAGAAATGGTGGCTATTTCCATTGTTCGATGATTCCGTGCATCCCTCGCAAAGGAATACAATATCGTACCATTTACAAAAACGACAGAAACAACACGATTTGAATTACTGTAGCACTTGTTCTTTGGCAATATGGCGGACGCTTATCACATATGATAAGCGTCCCAAACAGAACTGTATCGTGCCCGTTCGCCATTGACGACCTTGACCTTAACCTGCCCCGCACTGAAAAGAGCAAGGGAGCTCTTTGGCTAAAAATAAAATATGTCCCATCAAATCGGTTACTCTTTTCAGTGCGGGGCAGGTTAAGGCCAAGGTCGTCAATGGCGAACGGGCACGGCACAATTCTGTTTGCGATGAATAAATGTACGTAAACTCATTATGACAGTAAGATGTAAATGTCTCCGAAAGAATGGCGACTAGCGCGCTGACAGGCGCCATCAGTTCAACAGGTTTTGGTGCATGTCGTATGTGTATACCGTGAAATGAACAAGAAAATGGGTGAGTTACCGCTACAAATTCTGAGCAGGGATTTTGGCTCGGAATCGAGAAATCACGATTTTTCGAGCTTCCGAAGACCCTAGCTTCCAAAGTACGGCTTCGATTTGTGTGCTCTATGGCTTATTTTGTAGGTAAATCTATTGGCTTGAAGTGTGTGCAACTTAAATGGGACAGATACAGTGATCATTGTTGAATTCGCCCTGAAACGAACTTGGTGTGTTGACCTCGTTACATCCCTTTCCTTTTATATAGTACTAAGACCCCGTCAGTGACAGTATATAAAATCCCTTTGATATGTTTTTTTATGAAATACATAATGTCACCCTGATGGACTCATGCAGGTACAAATATCTCATATTGACTAATTTCATGGTTAGGTTCTGCAAGTAGAATGTATCAACAGGTTGCAATATCACACTGACGTCAGGTACAAATATAACCTCTGGATACCAATATCACTCCAGTGACCGATACGTCACTTACAACATATTGATTACATCAACTTTAATTTCCTGTCCGTCAATACCACATAGCGATGAAAATATATCATAGAAGTCTCGCTGGGCGATTTAGTTTTCTGGGGAAGGAAGGTAGGCGGGTGACTTCCACATGGGTAGCGATACCACACTGTTGCCCCACATGGTTGTCAGCTGGTTCACATTAGCAGCCATATCCTGATGTTCTGCCCGTCAAAGAAATACAAAACAATGTCTGGTGCCCAAATGTATTCTTATACAAATATTGACGTAAAATCGAACACACAGGGTTTAAATTGAACTGTGAGCTGCTCAGATATATTTAAGCGTCAATATATTTCCAGATGAATGCAATGCTACTTGAAGGTTTGTTTGTTTCCTGTGTAACGCCGCACTCAGCAATATTCACGCTATATGGCGCGGTCTGTAAATAATCGGGTCTGAACCAAACAATCCAGTGGTCAACAGCATGGACATCAATCTACACAACTAGGATACGATGACGTGTGTCAACCCAGTCAGCTAGCCTAACCACCCGATTCCGTTAGTTAGTTGATGCAGACCCGGATTCTAAGACGGGGCCCATGTAATTACAAATATTAACACTATGCAGTTATCATTATAACATCTAGTCTCACCTGCATTCATTGATATTTCAAAAGGGAAGTTATGCTATACGTCAGTTTACGAAATTACTCAAGTGTCTGTTTGTACTCGTTCTGCATGAACAGCCTATGAATAGCTATCAAATAGTGGATATAACAGGTGTTCGCCTTGTTAACATTGACAACGAAGTCGCATTTGCGCGGAAGCCGTCTCGTCAGACACATTAACATGGCTGATTGCATGATACCGTGAATCACCCGCTGTTGTAGTCCAGGCCTCTATATTGACAGATGACCTCATCATGATTTATCTGGCCGGGGAGTGATACGACATCTACTCTTTCAGAATATATTCCACTGACATCATTTATGCATGCATTCCCACTGACATCGTGAAGACTGGAAGATTATCGGACGCTTCGTCTACGAGATTATAACAAGGTCATGAAAGTATTAAAAGAAAGATGCACAAAGAAATAACAAGAATATTGATAAATTTAAAATAAACACGAAAAAGAAACAATGTTCAGTCTATTCCAACTAAGGACCATATGTTCCGCTAAAGCTGATAAATATAATGATTCAAAAATCGTGATATCTATATATTATGTTACAGGGAATGTGTGGAACCACGGATTTCACGTAATCCCTAAGAATCAGTACTTTCGTGAAATCACCGTGACCCCTTTAAGATTAAATTTTCAACAAATCTGAGAGAAATGCTAGATTTAAATTATGATAAGCAATTTACAAAAGCTAGACAAGCAAACAAGCAATTTACACAGGGTCAAATAGAACGTTAACTCTGCGATGACAAATTGTTTTACTAAAATCTCAAATTTTACACTCATTTACTCGCCTCTTTATGTCTCTAACCGTTCCATCTTCTGTTGTTGTTTTTCAACGAGTGAACTCTTTGCTGTATCGATTTATATGGTATGTTAAAAAAGATAGAATAAAAAGAACTATGCTGATTAATGACTACGAGAAAGGTGGAATAAAAATGGTAGATGTGGTATCATTTTGTAAGTACATGAAAATACAATGGGTAAAAAGACTAACTGTTTTGAAGTGGGACTGAAGTGTAATAGTCAGTGTCATAGCATCTTGCCCCAACAGATGAATTTTATCAGCAGATACTCTGTACTCGCATTATAAATTTGGTGATCTCTATTTCAATTAATGCTGGCAGGGGTTTCATGAAATCCCTGAGCCAATATTTCAGTAATTTCATGAAATACCTTGAAATGTTAGGGAACACATTAAATCCCTGGAGGTCACTGAGATTTCACGAAATTACTGATTCTTTTATCAGTTCCCTGTAACATATGCACCTTCGAGCTGTATTTTCAGAAAACCCAGAGGTACTGTCGTGTAGTCTGTATGATCATATTGGTTGTTTGTTGTTTATCCTCACACTCCACGTAATCCATCCATGTGCCAGTAGCTACATTTACCCAAACAAACCAGTGATTGATATTGTGAGCAAGGGTCCACGTCATCGGGTATGATGAAATGCAATGTGACCGAATGTGACTTCAACTTTCGATTCTCAACATTCCAATATCGTTTCAAAACAAACGCTGTCGCATTTATGCTTTTGTAGTATCATAGGCCTTACTTTCATCTCCTAGGGCAGCATAATCACTGATATGAGAAATATTGCATTGACAAATCTTACGTTAATGTTAAGTTGTATATAGGCATATGCCTTGGGACTTCCCATGAAAATATTGAATAAACAAATGAACAAGGAGTGTCCGAGTGTTGAATTCTAGAGGCCTGCATTATGGCAAATCAGCATATCCACTGTGTGGAAGCAGTGTTGCGATTGTGGTAATGGAAGTGACAAAACCGCTTTCATAACTATATCTTCGTTAACAACAATCTGGACTGTACAATTCCCGCCCTAACACGACGATTCTGTAAATGACAATTTATCTTCTATTAAGTTTTGTTAGACATTTAGATAATGAACTCTCTCGATTTTACATACCAAGACAATTAAGTAATAAAATGTACATAAATATTGTTTAAAAACAACGGTAACTACATTTATATGTCAAATATTGAAACAACTATAAAGTGGCTAGTGTTTTATTGACATCTTTCCTTCAGGGAAACGATGCTTCAATCAACAACAAAAGACGGAATGAGATCATGAATGAAGAAAATATATATCTAACATTCTTATTGATATGGCGAGGTTAATGCATATCGCGACCACATAGGCCAGTTTCCATATGACTGAATATTCAACCATGACACTGACAGATGACTGACTAATGTTACGAAATTTTACTGGTTACTGAGTGACAACGTCTGATTCCAGGGCCGCTTTTTGATACGTCGGAATTTTGTGCATGCGATTACGGTGGGCAATGTGAACTACGATGCCTTTTATCTGTTTGGACAGAGATTATATATCGGTATACGGTCTCTGGTTTGGATATTCGGTCAGGCCATTTATGACTTTGATAGTCTTGGGCGATGCTCCGATTTCGCTAAGTGCCGTTTTGGTGTGGTTCCGTTTAAGCAACAACACCAGATGAAAAGGGATTTGAAAGCCTAATTCCTGACGTGGAAATCACAAGTGAATCTTTGTAACGCTGCTTAGCACAGTATTGACGTTCTATCACGGTGTATCAGTTAGATGAAAGGGGAAAATCCCGATGTGTTGCCAACGTGTTGCCATCACGGCATGATGTTCACAAATCTTGAAACACAGACGGAGGGACAGAGATTCGAACCCACGAACCTAGGTTCTGGTGTGGACAAAGGGAGGTGATTGTGCTCAGCAAATTGCAGTGCCTTAGGTGACTAAGTCACTCCCCAAAGCTCGAGATTTCAAACAAACGCCAAAGCACACACACAAAAACGCATGTTGTATCACGAATTTGAAGGTAAGGGCTTAAAAATGATATTATGAAAATATGAGATAATAAGCACTGTTACCCTTTAGATAAATTAGAAGACTTTTGATTGGTTTATACCCTATGCATATGAAACTGTACTCTAAAAGTTGCAACATGGATGGATACTTTCCCTCTGCGACAACAATCATGGCGAAACACAGCAGTAACGGAAGAGAAACGGATGAAAACAGTCCCGGAAAACAAACAAAAAGCACCTAACATATCTAAATGGTACAAAGTTTGTTACACAGCCATTTTCCAGGTAGTGTGAGATGGTACGTCCAGTTTGAACCCGTATTATCTTCGGCTTCTGGCCCCAAGTGGCCTTTTTATCAAAGACACATCATCTTTCTAGGAGAGATTATTTTAATGTCCGTGAACACGGGAATGTTGACAACCCCACGCGGGAGTGACCGAAGTGAGTGTGAAAGTCAGCCCAACTTGTGTCCCGAGTCGTTGCGTTTAGAAACCGATGACATCGACTCAGAAGTAATCATTTTGACAGCAAATCTACCAACAGTCACCTTGGTTTGATTTGCAAAATTGAAATTATAGTAAAGCAGAGTTTAGTCAAAATCGCTCGCTCTAGGCCCGCAAAGAGAATAGGGCAACAAAAGCTACTTGGATTCCACGATCAAAATGACAGTCGTGCATATATGAAAACAGTCTGGTGATAAACCTGTCTGATGGCCGCCAATGCCTTTTCTGCAGGACCAGCGACCTGCAGGTGGTCGACAGCGTTCCACCACACAGTCGGAAGACAGGTTTCTCCTGACTGCATCACTGTCGTCACATGCAGACATGACCTACGGAACGTACCTGGGCTTAACGAATCTGTTAAGTGCGTACTTGTCTCCGATGTAAGAAGTAGGCCACGTCAACCTGACAGACTAGTACTTTTAACTGGCGAATAGAGATACTGTCAAAAATTCACAGATTTCATTAAGATTTTATGATTCCAAGGTAGCCTAACATGACTAATGTGGATGGAGCTTAAGTCATGATTGAAATAGCCCCAGCAGACCTGGAGGAACGGCTGTCTATATCCCGCAGGGGGAACTGTAACGATGTGATGTCATTTGATGTAAAAAAGGAGAACAAATGTTGTTTACAAGTAAAAATATAAAATCACATAATATTTGTTTCTGAAGCGTCACACACTGCTGTGCCGGAACTAAGACATGGGGCAGTGATCAGTGTTATTGTTCATTCAGTCTTGTGGCACTACTCCCAAATGTGTAAATGCTGTAAAATGGATAACGCCAAAGTATCACAATTTGACTTGTCAGACTCAGGTTATGGGTGTCCATGCTATATGCTACGCCTGGAGACGGTAGATCGATTTGCGTAAAGATTACAAAATCGATCATTCCAGCTGATACCTCAATCACCCAACACACTGAAAACATTGCTACCTGATCTTGTCAGTTCCTTCATGTCCCGTACGCACGCACGTTCACCTCCCGCTGAAGGAACATTTACTTCTCATGAACATTTTCATCTCATTTACTTGTCTTTCACTCCCGATCTTTTCGTATCCTGGCAAATCTAGTGTGCTTCTGAGTTATAGAAGTAGAATAACTATTGAATCTTGACAGCGTGTACCGTGGTCATGTAACTTCGAACAAACAATTCTGAAACACCTCCATTCATTAAAGAGGTAATATTACTCCTGAGTCAGATGTAGTTTGAAACTGCAAACAGCTTGATTATAACATTATTGTTCCCATAACTCCAATAGGGGGGCGGTGGGCAGTCTAGTGTTTAAAGTGTTCGCTCGTCACGCCGAAGTTCAGGGTTCAATTCTCGACATGGGCACAGAGTGTGAAGCCCATTTTGGTGTCCGCGCCGTGTTCTTGCTGGAATATTGCTAAAAGCGACTCACTAACTCCAATATGTGAGTATAGTGCTGTGTGGTAAAGCAGTTGCCCTCCAAGCAGGTATGTACCTTTATAGAAACATCGATGTTGTAGATGCATATTTGCTCAGTACGCTCAAATAATATTGAAACGTGCAAATGAAGGATATGGTATATGATTCTGGGATCATTAGATACTCAGCTATTTAACCATGCCAGATTCAAACGGGCTGAACCATCCCATACTATTTGGCAAGTTTATTACCCTTTAGACATTTTATATGCCTGATTCTGCATCCGTTTCTCTTCCGGTATTCGTCTCGATATGGCTGAAATATTGCCGATGTAACGTTAAATAATAAATCACTCACTCTCTCTTCCGGTATGGGGGGGAAAGGTGTTTCGCCATGAACATTATCGATCGATAGTCGAAGGGACATAACTCTTGTAGACTTAAAAACTAGGATTTAAGAGACTTGCTCTTTCAGATAATATCACCGTTTAGGATACATCTTTGCGTCCAATCTATTTCCATTTCATTGTTACGAAATAGCATATTCTCAAAACAGCTCACTGGATTCTCCAAGTGCGGTGGATTTCAATGTCAAACTGTTAAGGTACCACCTGTTGGGACAAGGTAAGATGGATTCATACTGCCTGTGAAACCTAACGGTACTGTTTCATAGACAATGGCTATTAAGCAATCAGTTCATCTAATTAATGGATAAGAATATTATTATCTGAGAACAATCCATTTGTGTAGCTGCTAGTACCTATTAGAAAATTAATGTTCCCAAGACCTTTCATACATTCCGACACATATATACTTCCATAAGACATATATAATCCAAATCATTCCTTCTCCATGCCATGGACTGTGTATTCAATTGAAATGGACGCGCATGTTCCATAACAATGTCCGTGTCTATGTGTTGATTGGATGTGCTAAATCAGTCAAGGAGTTATCGTCCTTGTACTAGCTTTTTCTTTAGCTCAAACACACAATGTATTATCGCACAGTATGAATTATATGACCCTGTACTTACAACACACAAAAAAAGTAAGTAATATTACATTGCTTCAAAGTGTGTAAAACCACTTGCCGAATCCGGGTTAAAAATGGTCTTCAGCTACCAACGCTTGTAGGACTCGTGAAGATCCAGGTTGGAATTGGTCTTCAGTAACCCATGCTTGTCCTAAGAGGCGACTAACGGGATGGGATGGTCAGACTCGCTGACATGGTTGACACATGTCATCGGTTCCCCATTGCGTAGATCGATGCTCATGCTGTTGATCACTGGATTGTATGTTCCAGACTCGAATATTTACAGACCACCGCCATATATCTGGAATACTGCTGTGCACGGCGTTAAATATCAACCAACCAACCCACGATTATTGCCTTGATTAACAAATGTGAATGAATGTTTCACAAATCGTGGAGGCATTACGCACTACTGATCCAAAAACTGTCCACTTTGAAATTTCCTATCTTCACCTAATCACCTTGTAAGATCGTTCACGGTGATATCATCTAATGTCGCACTCCACTGCCAGTTTTAATGTGTTAAGAGTTCATTCATCATAATCATGCGACTGTTAGTAAAAACTAATATATTCTGATATTTTTTTAAAGATTTGTTGTTTTTCCCAAATTTATCACGTTATCGCGATAAATAAGATGGTTTGTCCCATTTCCTTTAGCCAGCCCTTTCTGCAGTGCGAAAACCCAAAGTGAAGCACGTCCAGATGTTCAGGTTCCATCTCAATGCACATGGAATTATTTGATTCCGAGGCAAGGCGGTAGTCTGCTACGTATTGTTTAAGGTGCAAAAAACGCTTTCTAGCAATGGCACTGAGTAGCATCATAAACCTATGATATTGTGGTTCCCCTTTAACAATAATTTCTGGTTTATTACCTCCGAACCCCTGCTCGTCGGTTACATTAATGTGGTAAATATCTAAGGCCTGCAGCTTTCACAATGTCTTCCCAACATAAGCCTATATGCCGGGGTATAACTGAAATATTGTTCAAAGATGCACACATCCTAGTACACATTAACCACTCATCGTATATTACTGAAGAAATCGTTGTTAGAGATGCACCTACCTCAGCATAACACCATAAATTATATTTATTGTTTGTGAAATACCTGGATATTTATAAGTGAACTTGATACCTCCGTCCATCTATCCATGTAGTCAGAAATATAAATACACAAACGTACGTACTGAGCAAAGGACAACACAAAGTTATAGTGTCTAGTGCATATTTATTGAAAAAAATAATAATTCAGCTCAGATTATTTTTGTTTTAGTGAAGCTCTGTTCGTGTATGTACATGCTATTACATGAATACTTCTGTAAAGCAAAGCTTACGAAACTGACGTTGACATGCAATAAATGGACACTGTTTTTTTAAAAGTGTAAATAAAATACCATAAAACCATATAACATATAAGGAACGTTGCACACCCAGTAAACTACAATTAAAACGAACTCACAGGGACAATATTGTTAGTTTATCATACATATCTGTACAAAACTATCCACCAAATGTTCGGGACCAAAACATGGTTAGCTTTTACCTTCAGTTCGTTATAAACGTGGTTTACTGTATCCTGGGGGGCACATCATCAATCTACAAAATCAGACAATACCTATCCAGTTTTTCAAAATAGTGCTTGTTTAAACTTCTAAACATCACATAACGACCTATGGACAGTCTGTTTGTTGGAGGTTGTCGGAACAGAAACGTGAACATGACAGCAAGTGTTGGCTTATTCATGTACTTTGAAGTGTAGTGTCAGAGACATTAAGAAAACAGCAATGGTCCAGATACATATTATCAATAAACAAAAGTATTAAAAATATCCACTCAAAATCTGTCGACCTCATCTTACATGGAAAGGTGTATTAATCTAGGAAAGTGTTTACTCTCATAATTGACATGGACTATCAAACTGCATAGTAAGCAAATAGTTAATAATAAAATAGGTACTAAGCATCTGACGGTGATTTTAGTCACTGTGCGTCCACGCTCGTCTATTTCAACTGTTGGGATAGTTGAAATCTACAGTAACCTAATATTTTAGAAGGTTGGAGCCCAGGGCCCCGTTCCTCAGAGCGATCGTGGCTCTAAGGTGATCGTAACTCCCATACTTTAAGATAGACCCACGACTGTCGTAGTGCTACGATCGCTTTGAGGAACGGGGCCCTGGTTCTCATTCTTACCTGTTCTGTATACTCAGTTGTACACAATCGGAACAATATGATCATCAACTTGTCACAGAATTTATATAACATTATCATGTCTGCCTTGTGTATGCACCGGCATATTGTAATTGCGTTTGGATTCTAGGTTGTATTCAGTTTTGTAATCCTATGATTCTGTTTATATTAAATTTCGCTCATTTATTCCAATGATTCGTGGGCTATGTTTCCGATAATTCATACTTAAAAGCCGCCAAGAAAGTCTACAATGCTAAAACACTTAGGACTAAGTTTGGTTTTCACTGAATACAGCTGAATTAGGCTAAGGCTACAGCACACATTTAAGGACTGTTTTTCAATTGTTGTACACTTGTGGAAGAATAATTACCTGTGTGTATAGTGTAATTTCAGACAGAACCGAACATTGCAAAAAAGCATTCTTGAATATTCATATTTTTATGCTTCCTTCTCAGGTTTAGAAATGAATAGCAACAAAACATAGGCAGTAGTGAAACTCAAGAAAATAACTTTTCGAAATGGAAACTACACTAGTTTAATCAAATAACAAAGTAAATTATTAAGTGTTAATTTCACTGAAGACTCTCAGTAAAAATGTCTAACCGTGTCTTGGAAGACCTGACCTATTTAACACTTCCAAATAAAATTTGAATATCATTTGAATAAAGAAAAGAAGCTATGAAAAAGGTGGTATACTAGCGCCATGAAATTCTTTAAAGGCATTTAGAAGTGCGTTGATTGCTTCATTTCCATGTAGATGTCTGATGAAAAATACGTTGTGAAAAATAAATCAAGAAGTTGTTATCCATAAGATTTTCCTTGTATTACTAGCGCCATGTTTTCAGTAACACGTTTCAGGATTTATATGGTGTTCACTCCGATATTAATTTATATGAGGTATATCTATTTACGACTTTACAATTTATGAGGCCTATTTTCACCCCGATATTATTTTGAAATATAATACCTTGATACCATCAGATGTTCAGCAGGGTGACACGATGTCCTTACAAGGACATTCGTGACGTGACATCAACTGGCGTCGCATTAAACATTGTAAAGGTCATGATATCCATACACACCGTATACGGTTTGTATGGGGTTTACCAGACAGGTACATTCGATAACGAGTGATAAACAAGAAAACTGATAAACAAGAGCATTACATGAATCCAATCGAAAAGATAAATTTCCATTACTTCTTCCAACTAGTATAAAAAAGTAATCAACTCAAAAATAATAATGTCTGGATTATGCACTGTCTGCTTGAAAAATATAATCACTGATAAAGCAGAAGCGTAAAAACTAATAGAAAAAACCCAAGCTACCTATCAAAACGGAAATATAGTTATTGCAGCCAGTGTATTTGGCGAGAAAATGTATACAATTTTGACGAATCATATCATTATCTTCCAAACAGCTCTCATAAAGGCATTGTCTCCCAGAAATTTCACCTACGAACGATCTACGTTTTTAGCAAGATCATATACTTGTGCTTATGAAAGATCAGTATGTCATCATACCGTGGTATCCTTACCACTGACGTAAACCGTGACGGTGATCACAAAAACCTGAAGAAGAACGTTAGGCGTTTACCTGAAAAACAACGGGTGTATATTCCTCCAAATAGGGAACTGCTTCTGGTACCTGTTTTGTCCATGTTGAGTGTTTTTAGAAGTCCTTCACATATCTATATTAAAGGTCACATGCAACGTAAAACACAACTTTGCAGATTCAAGTCATCCAAAATGCAAATTCAACTTATAAAGTTGAAACATAACGCGATGAAAAAAACCGCGCGAAATCGGAGTTCAAACGATTCACTAATTTTCCCCCGACTTTTCCGGGGAAAACTGGTTTCAACAGCTGGGCTGCGCTCATAGCACGTGCGCAGTGAAATAGGTTCGCGCAACTTGGAAGCGGGCTGTCCGGTGAATACTCGGTGAAGGCTTTGGTGTGAGCTATTTTCCTAATGTTTTGTTGATATCTCACAGGCGCGAGCTTTTTATATGTTATGACAGTAAATAAACTGTTTATATAATTTCATTTGTCTATTTCACCACACGTTCTTCTTACCGAGTCACTTTCTCAGTTCGATACTTAAAAGCAATGTCATTATTTAGCATTGACACAATTTCTAACTGTGATATAGATATGTCGTTGTCATAGACAAAACTCAATGTCTTGTTTTATTGACACCTGTGTGTCTGCCTGCCTGTCTGCTAATGACAATATTCAATACACAGTTGCGATCACTGACCACATGCAATTTGAACTTAACACCAATCAGGCTATACACCATAATAAACAAAACGCATTGATTTATGGCCCGAGTTCGGTCTCTGTCACATTATGTAATTACACAGACAGGCAGGTGTGATACTTGTACACATGACATGTTATGATGTCTGTTGATTGCAAAATGTTATACACAAAAAATGAGCATGTATTTTCAAAACCCAACATCTCTATATACACACACACAATAAGCCGCGAGGGCATCTGCAAATGAACCAGCCGTTACACTTGAGTGCACACCCACCCGCTCTGACTGGGTTCGGCACCCCGGCTGTTTCGATTCTTGGGAAGTAAACCCAAGTACACAATATTGCACTTTTGATTTGCGATTGTACGCTTATAATTTTGTTTATATGGTTTTTCATAAAAAGCAATGTATATTATATGTCATGAATAAGTGATAATTGTGTTTTAATTATGTTTGATTTTTTGGTTGCATGTGACCTTTAAGAAATTCGAAAAAATCTAGGAAGGCCTTGAATGTTGTTACTCTCATCAGACAACTCCCACGCAATTGTCAGAAGACGATCTTTCAAATCTCTTCAGAAGCAGTACCCTCAGATGTACCTGAGACGTAAATGTAGACATCAAAAGCCTGTTTCCGCCCTGGAATTGGAAAGAAGAAGCCATTGATATTTTCATACAGTGTTGTGGATAGTTTTTATGGCTCTGAAGCACTGATCATATTATGGCCTCATTGGAATGAATAGTGTGAGTGTGTGATGGGTTTACAGCCGCCTTTAACAGTTTTCGAGTTATATCAGGACGTGTCACCTAATATGGTTAGAAATCAAGTGATGCAGTTGTACAACGTGTACCAAACACAGAGATGGTCAAACATAGTGGGGATTAGAACCCATAATCACCGGTTTGGCGTGCCCAGGGGGACGCAACCCGGAACAACGAATTATTAACAATACCAGTTGTGATAATAGAATAATGACATGTTGAGAGTTTATCATCTTTACTGTAGGAATTTCATGTATACGGAGTGCTTCAAAACAGTGTATTTTCAGTAGATCTGCTGGTGAGGTGAGGTGAGGTGAAATTGGGTTTAACGTCGTACTTGAGAATATTTCGCTAATATAACGACGTGCATGCGTGTGTATATGTATGTGCGGCTGCTTGTACTAGCCCAGACTGAAGCTGGTTTTATAGTGCTAGCCCACTCAGATACCATGCCGCAGTGAAGCATGAATACCCCACTCAGACACATTATACTGACTCCGAGCCGACCAGTCCTTGTTGTACCCATTAATGCCGAGCGCCAGGCAGGGACCAACAAGTACCATATTTTAACGTCTGTTGGTATGACGCGGTGGGGGGATCGAACCCGCGACCTTCCGCTCCCCGGGCGGAGGCTCTAACCACTACACCATGGAGGCGGTCAGATCTGCTGTTAATTTCGTCTAATACATCCTATTATTTGCGACGTTACACCCTGGAAGGAAGTAATTAGATAGGTAGCATGGATTCGCCACGCACCATCCAAAATGCGACCCTCTCATGTAACAACGGAACAACAATATCAATAAACCTACAATCATTCACCACCTTTAAGCGTGTCATTACTTACACCCTCACTCTAAACCCATTCAGTATCGAGAACACACATCCATTGTCTGTTCAAAAAGTGATTGATTAACTTTGTCTACATAATAAACACAGTTCATCATATTACTGTAGGTATTTCAAATGAATTCAAACCTGCTTCAAAACGTTTAGTATGTCACTACTAGTAACTTAATTCTAACTGCATTCAGGTTTGATAAAACACATCCTTTGTCTGTTAAAAAAAGTATAATATTTACTTTGTCTCCATAATAATGACAGTTTGCAAGTTTATCATATTACTGTAGGTAATTCAAGAGAATTCAAACCAGCTTCAAAACATTATTATGTATTTACATGTAAGGCAGAACTCACATGTTTTTAGTAGATGTGCTGGTAATGTGGTCTGCTTTATCAAGTATCGGTTCCCCATCTGACTGAAGTACCGACCTGGAATGGAATATATAGAATACGTAGCAAAGATTCGGTTCTCAGAATCCAAAAATACGACACCCTCATGAAACAAGGGAACAACAATGTAAATATACCTAGAATCAGTCATCACCGTTTAGTGTGTCATTAAGTTTATAAAATATCTGTAGGTATTTCAGGTGAATTCATTGAATTCAAGTGAACCAATTGCGATATATTTTGACAGCAATCCCGTTGAATCCCGTTAATCATACCGTGCTTTTTGGGCATTGCGCGCAAACGCATCCCAAAATGTACTGTAAACGCTTGTCATAAAACATGAAAACGATACATGAAAAGTGCATGCAGAAAAAAGATTTTCACATAATGCACGTGCAATGTGTCGTAAACATAAGTAGAGACATCAATATCCTCCGCCACAGTGTTCTGTTCCTATTTTGACAACTATTCACTCTTCCTACAAATAGCGTATATAAGCTGTTAAATAAGAAAACCTGTTCCCATTGGGGGGACAAGTCTAGAAACGCATGACAAGGGAAATAACTCTGTTAAGAATCGTAACACGGTTTCCGTTTTTGTACTCCATCAAGGCATTCATGTCCTGAAACACATACCAAATTTGATTTCCCTATCTATAACTATCTATAATAGTGGCGGGGGATAAAAATGCCACAATTGAATGCTTGGGACCGAAATATCGCCATTGGACGTTTGGAAGCAGGCGAGTCCCAGTCTGCCAGTGCAAGATACTCACTTCAACGTCCACCACAGCACCGCATCTCGATTATGGCATCGGCATACCCGCTTCAGTTAGACCAAACATTGTCCCAGAAGTGGAACACCAAGTGACCAAACCTGCTCAGCACAGATTCACCTACAGTGTACGTCCACGAGTTGCCACAGCAACAGACACTGCAGGACAGGTGCCTAGTCTTCGAAGATTTTCCAACCAAACCATCAGAAATCGTCTGAGAGAGGTGGGAATGCGAGCATATCGACCAAACGTTGTACCTGTCCTGACTACACCGACGACGATGTGTCCATGGTGCAACAGGGTACAGGCATGAGACCCGGGAAACTGGCTACGCGCTTTCTTCAGCGATGAATCGCGTTTCCTCCTGCAACGACGGGATGGGAGACAACGTGTCGATACGAATGTTTTGCTCCGAACTGCGTTCGACAGGTGGATAGATTTGGTGGAGACCGCGTTATGGTGTGGGGTTCCATGTCCTACACGGGTAGATCAGAGCTAGTGTGGTGGTTCAAGGCAATCTTACAGCAAAACGCAACATCAACTAAATCCTGCGACCTCACCCCCTTCCAATTATTAACCACCAGAGGGAGTTGTTTCAACACGACAACGCGAGACCCCACACAGCTCATGTAACAAGTGCCTATCTCGCCAATGCAAACGTCAATGTCCTTCCCTGACCTTCCAAATTGCCTGATCCGAACCCGATCGAGCATCTATGGGACGAACGTGATGGACGCGTCCGTAAACGTCACCATCGTCCTCAGACACTTGTAGTATTTGCCAACGCGTTGCAGGAGGAATGGCGAAGACCTGTGCAATCCCTTCCAAGGCAGTGTCGAGCAGTGACGGCTGCATGGGGTTGTGTGACTAGGTACTGACCTGAACGTCTCTTTGTGTCCACACATGTTCAGTGAGTAAACTGAATTAATGCTGACAATATCAACAATATATATATCGAATCTCCTTCATCAATACTCACACGCAAAGCAACGCAAGTCGAGTATAAAGTGCACATGAATGTAATTTTCAACATTAAATACAAGAAATACCAACAGGGTCAGATAGACATAAAATATGAGTGAAGATATTTCATTGGCTGCAAAGACTGGTGACATCATTAAGGTAAAGGGGTTGACAAGAACGGATCTCGCTGGTGTTGACGGGTAATGTGTTGATCTTGTCGAGAGGTGGTGAACCCAGGACAACCGCTCCGAGGAAGTTCATCTGTGGTCTGTGTTGCGTTGTATCGATTCTGGAGACGGTAATACCGTATTGGAGACAATCAAACGATCATGCAGGTGCCAGGCGACGTGACGTCATTGATGGTGGCCTATGGACTTGCAATGTGTTATTGCATGTGCAGCCTGTGCAGCTGCACACAACATGTGAAACTCGGAAATTGCTGTCACTGTCGAAAGCTTGATCTTTGGTTATCCAAACGTTCACAAATTCACATGAGAAGTCACATGCACACCATGCCAAGATGAACATCTGCTCAACGTCATGAAGCCATTGGAATGGTTCGAGCAGGCATGAGCCAACAACAGGTGGCAGCACATTTCCAATGTCATCGTAACACGATATCTGCATTGGTCAGGCGTTATGGAAACAGTAATGATTTGCCGACCACCCACGTTCTGGGCGTCCCCGAGTAACGACGCCAAGACAGGACAGATGGATTCGGGTGACTCATCTCAGACACAGGTTCCAGACGGCAGTGACCGCGTCCCAAACATTCCCCAGGCCTTCAATGCTCATTTGGTAGACTATGCGTCGTCGATGCACGGCTGTGCTTCACGCGCATGATGCGGTCATACCCGTTATTGACTTTGTGACTTCGACGTGTGACCCCCTACTCAATTTTGAACTTCTGACGTCATCGTTACGGATATTGTTCATGTTCTTTTGACATGGTGTTGTGGTCCGATACTTCAGCTTATAAAGTGTCCACATCATTTCGTCTTTTCTGTGCTGTATTCCAATTCTGAAGGAATTTTCTGTGTGCACAGTTTCTGTGTACAAATACATAAATCACTAATTGGCATCGTTAAAAATGAAACCCCGTCATTAAAACTACTATACTCATTTCGATCTTTCATAAACTTTACTTAAATCGACCTTTTGACAACAGTGCACAATTCTCACCCGCCAACGTAATTTCAACCAATCAGAGGGGCGCGTCTCCGTGACGAAATGTGAGGAATAGATATGAGGGCCGATGTATAATTCATGTACATTTCAGAGGGTAAATTATCTTGTTGACAGGTTTCTACAAACCTGAAATCGTGAAAATTGTTGTGAAAAATGAAAGCTATATGTTCTCATAATCTACTGTCATTTAATTTTGTCGCCTGCGTAGCCTAGCTTCCGAGTTACAACTTGTTTTCATAGACGATTCTGACAGTAACATTGGTGTCGCAGGGCCTTATTTGTTCGAGCCAGACGCTAGTGACAGTGAAAACGATGATCAGCCTCGCCCATCACGGTTACGGTTAATTTCTTCAACCTAAACAGTGCGACATTAAGAAGGGTGGATGCCCATCAGATGCCTTTATTTGAAAATATCCCCGGTAGTTCTTGTCTGATTGTAATAAAGTATCAAAGCAGTGTGGGCTTTTTCAGGTTTTCTAATGCCTGGATGGTATAATGACTGATCCAAATTGATCCCATTTCTGTGTGTGTTATTTTACCTCGATATTTAATCATGTCATGTAAAAATATGGCGTCTATTACGTATGATATTAAAAATTGAAATTTGATTTATGTGAATCCGTAAACTAAACATTACCACTTTGCCGTTGCTAGAAGAATCTGGAAATTTACTTAGGTAAACAGATACATACAGTTTTAGCACACAACAAATGCTTATATGTATTTCTTATGCAACAATGAAGTTCTGTTCGTATTCTCAAAACAGTGTCGGCCCATAAGTTTTCACATGCAATTAAAATTGCATGCAATACAGCAATTAATACTCTCTTGTTGTAACCCGTGTTAGGTGGTATAAACCTACACATGTTATTTGTCATCATTCACTTGATGGTCAGTTAATTAATTTATAACAGGCACAATTAGTGGTAACACCACTTACATTACCCGACAAAGGTTCCCATTTGGCATTTCTTGTGTCTGGAGTAAATACTCAACATAATAAACATCGATCAAAGGATTAACCGATAACGCGCTGATTGATTAATTACTTTTATCTTGCACTGCGAACTTGTCAGACAGACAGACAGACAGAGAAGTTTATTTCTCAACCAACCAACGGTGGTACATGAGAATATATAAATACATAGGTAAACAAATATATACATGGCAAGTGGCTGGACATGATCATTTGAATATTACTTAGTAAGCGATTTATACAATACATTCAGAAATGACTTTAAGTTCTTTAGATGTTTAGTAGTTTTATTACATAATAATTTCTTTAACATTGAATGTTTTTTGGAGATCACACATATATGTTGCGAGATAGGTATTTCGATGTTGGAGAAGAGTTTCACATCTAAAGAGATAGTGAAACTCATCCCCAACAACGTTAGCGTTACACAGCTTACATATTCTTTCCTCTTTTTTGAATAGAATGCCATCGGCCGGTTTCAATTGGTAGGTTATTGTTGCAAGTTCTTAGTTTTAATATAGGAAAATATATATCCCTGGATAAGTATAAGTAGTTTTCAAAACATAGTTTATCTTTAAAACATTTATAAAATTGACCTTTAGAACTAGTTTCTTGGAGCTACGCCAATGTTGTGAAAACTTATCTCTTAGAGTAGCTTCAACTTTTAGGACCAGCCATAACGTAGTGACATTGTGGGGGTTTGAGAAAACCTCTGATAAACCGCAGGTATTAAGTATTCTTGTAACAAAAGATATCCATCGGAGTTGACAAACAAAGTTATTAACAGAGATAAAATTATACACCAGTGAGGAGAGTTTACAGTATTGGTTATTTGTTGCTACTTTATGCCAAAAAGAAATAACTCCTTTGTATAATTTGATGTAGAGCGGTTCTCGGCCAAACTCGCCATACACCATGAAGTTTGGAGTTGAGCTTCGAAGGCCAACAGCAAATTTAACAAATCTGAGATGTACTTTTTCTATAATGTTCAGGTTTTCAAATCCCCATACTTCACATCCATGAAGGAGAATCGGACTTATCATAGTATCAAATGCTTTTAGGGTACAATCAATAGGTAGGTTTAAATTTCGGGCTTTTTTCAAATGGGCAAACATAGCTTTAGTTGCATTTTCTACTAGCGCTTTAATACCTGTCAAGAACCTACAATTTTTTCTATGGAACCTTACGCCAAGATAGGTATATGTATCTACTATTTCAATTTTACTGCCCCCCAGCGAAAATGAAAATTTTGAATTGACTGTTTTCGAGGGCCCACCTCCGAATTTGACAATCTTAGTTTTAGATAGATTAACTTTAAGTTTCCATTTGAAACAGTATTCATGAAAGTTATTTAATGATTTCTGAAGTTCCTTAGGTGATTCACTGAAAATGAGAGCGTCGTCGGCATATAATAAGACAATCAAATGTAACCAAAGGTAAATGTCATCCTCGTTTGCATTTTCAAAGTTCACACCTGTACATCCATTTCTTAATAAGGAAGATTCAAGATCATTTATAAAAATAGAAAATAGTAGTGGTGATAAGTCTTCACCCTGCCTAACACCTTTTCTACATTGAAAGAAGGGAGACATTTCATAGCCAGTGATAACAGTTGATTTTATATTATGATACATATTTCTAACAAGCGTTAAGAATTTGCCATTGATACCATATCGGAGCATTTTATACCACAGCCCTGCACGCCATACGGTGTCAAAGGCTTTAGTGAAATCTATATATGCACAATAAAGTTTACTCCTAGATAATTTTAATATTTCTAAAACTATATTCATAATAAACACATTATCGGCAGTCGAAAACCCTTTTCTAAATCCTGCTTGTGCAGGAGTAAGGATATGATTGATTTCTGCAAATAATGTTAGTCTTTCATTTAAAATACTTGTAAATATTTTTCCAAAGCAACTTAGGAGCGTTATGGGTCTATACGAATTTGGGTTATTCCAATCGCCGATTTTCTTATAAATAGGTCGAATAATACCACTGAGCCAGGATTCCGGAATGTATCCCTTACTCAGCACCAGATTAAAAAGCGAAGTTAGAATAGGGGTAAGAATATTCGCTGCATCTTTAAAATAATCATTTTCAATAAGATCTATGCCTGAAGCCTTATTTCTTTTCAAACATTTAATTGCAAATTTTACTTCGTCCTCAGTTATATCTTTATTAAGAACTTCATTATTATACATATTTTCTTCCATCGTATCATCAGTTGGGATATCATCATAATCTTCATAATTATTATCAGTGTCATTTAGTTTTTGGAAAAAGTCAAAGAAAGATTCGATATTAGGTATAGATTGTTCTTTATCAGGTTCTTTGTCATTTAGCAGCTTCCAGTATTCTTTTGGGAAGTATTTTCTATCATTCCTAATTTTTTCAGTAGTTTTCTTTTGAAAATTTTTAATATGTTTATCAAGACATTTTTTGTATGTTTTCGACATCTGCTGATACAGAAATTTATTCAAAGGGTTTTTGATTTATTAGATCTAGTTTTAGCTTTGTTGAACTTTTTTCTCATATTTCTATATTCTTTATTGAACCAGGGTCTATCTTTTTTCCTTTTAACATTTGAAACATTCGAGTAAACACGCCTTACACCAAACTTTTCCCGTGCAGCATTCACTAGCACGTGCGAGATGCCCATGGCAATCTCATCTACTGTAACTGGGTCAGCTTCACTGACATGTGCGAGTTCTGTGCGTTCGAGTAATTTTAGAATTTCTTCAATATTTATATTTTTACAAAACAAGTCGGATTTAGAGGGATCATACCGTTTGTGTTTACTTTGTCTGTTTTCATTCTGGAATGGATTTACTGTGTTTACGTATGTAGATTTACTAATCTATACCGAATACACTCTGTCGTAAACAACGAAACAACGTCCTTCTTTCAAAGGATTAACCACCAATACATTGATTGATTGCTCATTATTGGCTAACTAAATTACCTGTTTTAAAAGAATGGCGGACATTATGCAGTTAGTTGCCAGGTGTGCTATCTTGGGTGACCAATGAGACTATACACCAATGTGAAAAACCTGAAACGATATATCACTTTTTCGCATATTAGACTGCTAAAAGACACATCACTTGGAACAGCTGCAGATGAATGGCATATCACTCGTTTTTGTGGATATTGATCGATACATTTTTCGAACAAGGTAATAGCCTGACATTGTTCCTATAACTTTAATCGGTTTTAATTTTAATATTTGCTTTTTGTTTATATTCATTTGTCGTAGCATTCGACAGAATAATTGTTTTCGCCGTGAAGTTTAATGAGACAGACAACATACACGAATTATGATTCACATTGGCAAACTATAAAATGTCTAGATATTACAGTTCTGTTATAAATTCACTATAAGTATCAGCAGATCGCCTGCTTTTTATTAAGTTTCAAAATGCATAAAAGTATGATAATAAACTAATTAGGATTATAAGACCAAATATAAAGACGTACATTGACGAGTATGTACATACTGATGAGTGGACATTAACCACGTGAATGTAGCAAGACATTTATCGCGCAGTATTGTCACTTCGACCCCCACCTCGCTTCCGTGGAAGAAATCGTTATGTTACAAGTTGTGTCATGCAAAATCCTCTTGGTCATGATTCAAATACATATTTTACTACAACTAGTAAGCAGTTTTGATTCTTTAACTTCCGTGATGCGATTTGAACACAAGTAAGATATCGTTTCAGGCTTAGACAACGCTCGCTTCGCACTCACAAACATAACCCATTTAGCACGAACTACGGGGTCCGGTGGAAATCAGTGCATGGTGACACCATCGCCCGACCCCTAGGAGCAATTGACGGCAACGCAACGATTCGGCATGTCTTCGTTGACGTCAAGATATCAGCATAATGACGAGCTTGTTACACACTTTATATACAACTAACTGAAAATCCTTCCTCACGTGACATCGCTTCCGGTTCCCAGCAGTGCTCTGGCCACAGAGTTATTAATAACATCTCTGTGGTTGCTCTGGCGGGCGAGAGTGAAGACTTTTTGGCAACTTTTAATCACTCGCTATTAATCAAGCACAAGTTTTTACAGAACGAATTTGATATTCCGCTTAAGACTAACCACACGTCTTTCATAGGTAATGGTTAAAAGAGTACAAAAATACAAAAGTTTATTTGTTCTTTTTAAATGAAAGAAACAAAGTTTAAGTTTTGTGAATCGTTTACATATAACCTCACTCTTAGCAATAATAATAATATGAGTGTTATCTATCTATGCGTACCTCGCCATGCGCACAGGCAAATATTCAATTATTCTAAACTGTATTGGTCTTTAACTTAATATCTTGTAATATCAAGCTTTGTAGCTGTAACTGTTTAAGATGAGGCAATGGAACTGTACATCTTAACATGTACTTTCCCAGGCCGAGTTCCAATGTTATGTCCGCTTCCATCCTTCTTCACTCCCCTTTCCAACACTATTTAAGCTGGTTTGGAAGCATCATCTGTGCAAGCATAATGATTATTATGCCAATAAGATATGTGTCCTGTGATAAGTGTGTCTAGAGCAGCTGGCATAATTCCTGCATGAATTCCCTGAAACATGAGCTCCCCCATCACTTTTTTCAGTCCTGGTTGACGCCACATGTTTGTTAATAAGTGTTGTGTACTGCCTTTCAAACTTATGTAACTTTAGATACGTCAGTCGTACATAATATTGCACAAATATGGAACATATGGAAGTTTTGACAATTCACGTGCAGTGACAATGACTATAAAAAATGACATTTGCTGAAAAGTAGACGCATCGCACGTAATGTTCGCCTTTGATCGCAGCACGCGCATATCTAAAAACATTGTATAGTGCGCCCGAAGGGTCCACATAGTCATACAAAGAAACTTGATTATGGTATGAATATAAATGACTATATGGGGGGCCAAAATATAATTATTAAAATTGTTTTAGAACACCCGTGATGGTAAAGGATCGAGTGAACTGTTCAGAACAAGTTCAGAAGATCGGACAAAGTTGGGAAGATTGAATGTTCAAAGAGACAAGTGTGAAGGTAATGTGTAAAGAACGTCGAATAGGTAGAAGGTTGCATTTAAGAACAATAAAGTGATAGATGACATCCGGTATATAACAAGCCGACTACGCAAGAGTTGAAGCAAAAAAGAGAATCGGCACGCGGGCTTATTTCAAGAAAGGAATTTACCGCATTCCCGTCACTACCATAGTGGATCATACAGACTATACCATACTTCTCACAACAAGACGTAAGACTGACACATGTACGTCAAATTACCGTACGTACATCTGAAAACAAGTCAATAGCACACGATTCTAGACAAGGCGCGATAGAAATCTCACGGGTACCTATCCTGGTCAAGAGTGTTTTCAGAGATGTCACAGACGTTTCAATTGAACTGTGTGAGTATCGGAATCGTTACCTAGTTTGAGTGTGTTTTGGTGTGGTTAAAAAACACGAACAGTATGTGCCTCGTCTCATTTTAACTGTGACTGTGAGAATCGATTCAGATGTTCATATTTTACGATGAGCAACACGATAACAAACTACTCGTGACGAGGAATAGCGGATTATCTACCCTTTGTGAATTCAGTTTTGTGAGTCACTTGTCAGTGATCGTGAAATATAATGAATTCACTCGTCATTCCTCGTCACTCGGAATTTTTTTTTAGTATCGTTATTTCAAGTTTTGATTTCTCAGCTGGACCCAGTACACACCATTTTAGCGGACAATGTACCGAACCATTTATTTCACTGACAATTGTAATTATTGCACATAATCATAGAATTAACGATTAATAAAATATTGGGGTTTTTTAATCTCAGTGCATTGGGTCCGGAGGCTTTTTAAGCAAATACACATTTGGTTCTTGGTGATGGCTTCTGTATCATAATGACTATGTGTTTTTGTAAACAAATCCTGTAAACAGTCTTTAACATTTTTAAGAAAACAGACGAGAAGCATACACATTTACTGCACACCTTCACTGCAGAAAACAGTGGTCGCGGTTGGGATTGACTCACAAGCACTCACGACTTTTTTACCTTTACAGTTTGTTTGGGCTTAATGCGATGTCTGTTACTGCTATATATAGAACATTCACTGAACTGTTTCCACTTACCCTCTCCTTTTGTAACACGCTATTATGGCGACAACTATTGTAACGAAAACCACTGCAGAGGATACCGAGAGAACAAACCAAACTGAGGGCTTCCCTGTAGCTGAAAAAGAGAATGATTAGGAATTGTTTCCTTGCCATACAAACGCATTTGACATGGACATTCTTTGTCATGTTTTCTTCTTTAGATTACGGATATGGAAAGAGTTTTGTTGCTTTATCACTTAGCATCCAGACGGAAGAATCACAAGAAAAAATGGTGATTTACAAAAATGTACAATTTGTAATACTTACAAAGCTTGTACGTTTTGTAAATGTAGGAATGAATTTACCACAACCTCTTTCAGTTTCTCCTTTTCCCAAGGATCCCCTGTTTCAATCACTTAACTAGTTCAAGCATCTTTTGTTCTATTTGAGTTCATAGAGTTGATATATATTATGCTTCTAACATGTCACATGCTTTATATTAATGCAACTGCATCTGACGCGTGAAGAGATAGCATAAATATTGTCTTTCAATACATATTTAAAGGCTAGGAAAATGTTTAAAGTGAGTTGGGTTTTTTTTCTATTCCCCGTCCTCTGATTAACTACAACGAATTCTATATATTAGTATAATTTCACTCAATCTGCATCCTTCTTGTTCTATGTGTCAAACATTGACATTGACTGAATGATAAGAACGATGATATATTAACGGCTAGCATCACTATCATTTTTTAAAATACCGTTTTAAGTTGTTTTAATGCTTTAGTTGTTATCCACAAAAGCGCAACTATGTTTTTTTATATGTTATATTTTTCCTCTGTCACTGTTCCTATACTAGGCACAAAAAGAAACTGTGCAGACACATAAGGATTTAAACTCAGAGATTAGTGACATGTATCCAACATGCATGCACGTGCCACGTCCCGTGACGTCAGTGGGTTCGTCCTTGAGACGTGCAATACGTTGTTGCACGTGCATTCCGGGAAAGAGAAACAGAGCAAATGAATGCAACACAATACAGCCACTTTGGAAAGCTCAACCCCTGCCCTTGCGATCGTTCAAAAATTAATCGGCTATTGAAACGCATAGCATGCCAAGGCTCACGTCTGCACAACGTCATGAGGCCATTGGGATGGTCCGTGGGGGAATGTCTCAACGACAAGTGGCTGCACATTTCCACTGCCACCGGAACACCATTTATGCACTGGTGAGGCGCTACCAGAACACAAATGACGTCATCGATCGGCCACGTTCTGGACGTCCACGTGTAACAACGCCAAGACAAGACAGATGGATAAGGGTGACCCATCTTCGCCACAGGTTTCAGACTGCCCGAACCATCCCAGGACTTCGTCATCACGGGATCAGACCACGACGTCCCGCCATACGGCCTATCCTGACACAACGTCATCGACAAGCTCGCCGAATGTGGTGCCGAAATCATGTCCGCAGACCCTTGTTTTGGTGGAGAAATGTTGTTTTTTACAGATAAGTCGAGGTTTAACATTTCCCATAGTGATGGACGTCAACGTGCCTATAGACGCGTGGGAGAACGTTATGCACAGGCCTGTGTCTTGGAGCGGTTCCATGATGATTTGGGGTGGAATAAGCACGCCAAAGAACTCCTTTGGTGATTGTTCAGGGCAACTTCAGGGCAACACCACAACGTTGACTTACTGCCTTGGCCTGCAAATTCACCGGATCTCTCCCGATAGAGCATGTTGGAGACGAGATGGATCGACGTCTACGTCGTCTTTCCTCATCCGCCAGATAACGTCCTTGACCTTGCAACAGAACTTGAGAGAATCTGGCGTGACATCCCACAAGCCTTCCTTGCACGTTTGATAGGCTCTATGCGCCGTCGATGCACTGCTGTTCTCAATGCCGATGGTGGACATACCCGTTATTGAGCTTGTGACATGGTCGTTTGACCCCTGTCCCGCTTGTGGACTCGTGACGTCGTTGTGATTGACTTTTCAATTGAAATTCTCCCGACTTGTTATGGTCTCATGATCCCTCCATTAAAGTTTATATGTACCTTTGACATTGTTATCGTACTTATCAACTGGGATAATATTTTGACAATGCACAGTTTCTTTATGTGGCTAGTATATAAATACAAACCACATACACCTACGTTACAAGGATTAAATTAAAGTTTACCCGATCCACTGACTGAACATGATTCATTACGGTGTACGGATCATTGCCCACAGGAATTTTGCCCAACTTTCCTCTCGGGAACTTTGTCCACCACAATCTTTACAAGGGAGAACCTTTGCCTACAATCATCTTTTGGTGTATTGATATAAAGTATGTCTTGGAGCGTACAAAGAACAATCATTTAACATTACACATTAGTTATCTCTCTTTATACATGTACTAACACCGTCATCAAGCAAGTGACACAAAGTGTAACAAGGAGAATATATTCATAGCTGCATAGTGAGTATAAACAATTGACAAGGTTGATATACATTGGATTGCTAATTAGTGATTTGAGCAGAGTAGGTTGATGTACAGGGTGATGGGGATTGAAACAATATGTAGAATGAGTTTATACAATAGATGAGTTGATGTACACAAAGCCCTCTTACCGGTACGACCTCGTAAAGCAGGTCGTAAACCACCTCTTACTTTTTTACCCCGTTTCACAAAGACCTCGTATGTTTACACTGTGCCGTAAACAGCCCAAAAGTTAGGACCCCATTTGACCTGTCGTAAATGCTTTAGGAGGTCGTAAACACTACAAAGATGACATCAACGATTATGGCTCTGCAAGTGATTAGAACGGGCTAACAAAGAAGACCTGAGAAATTTTGAGACAGGTCGAACGTGCTCGACGCTCTGGATGATGTTGACATTAGGGGGGGTCACGATTCGGTTCGGTTCATCGAAAATCGAATCGATAGATGTACGATTCGATCTCGATTTCAAATGCATCCATTTCGATTCGATTCATAAAGTACTTACTTTCTAATGCTGAGAGTTTATTTCACCTTAAATCGTAAGAAATTATGTAGAAAATTCACTGCTACAAGTGTGGCCTGTGAGAGGGTATGCTCCACTGCCGGAGACATTGTAAGTGCCCAGAGGGCATGTCTTTGAAGTGAAACTTCCTTGCGCAGAACATGATCATTCCAAATGACTGACGGTAACATTACAGTCACAATGAACACTTGACACCAGAGTTCGTGACTGAAACTTAATTTCATGATCACTTGTTCGGTGAATATTTGTGGACAACTTGTTTTGACAGTGTTCTAATTGTGCATTGTGCCAATATTCCAAAGTTTGCCAAATTAAACTGATATTACAACAAATTTGACTTTGTCCTCAGCTTTGGTGAATCGAATCGAAATTAATCGAATCGAACGAATTGAATCGATAATCGCATCGAATCGAAGTGAGAGTGAATCGTGACCCCCCTAGTTGACATGGTGTCGGGATATAGATTTCTTAGGCGTGGTTGTTTTCTAACTGTGCAGAAGGTTAGGGCCCCAACTGAACAAACCTACAAGGCGTTCACATGCTATTCCGACCTCACTGCAAGTGTTGTGTTCAAAGGGGTATTTTGCAAAAGGGGCTTTCCTCAGTGAAATCGGGGATCTCCATGGAGTTTCCCGAGCTTGTGTGTCAAGAATACTCCGCGACACCACTAGTGCTCTGGCCGAGTCTCTGGACTTTATTAAAAAAACCTGGGTGCCACAGGGACATATATACAGCTGCGTGCGAAAAGTATTCGGACACTTGACATAAGTTCCATAGACCAACATGTGAATTTAGTGTAGCATAAATAATTTTCATGAATTGAAATTTCGTAAGATCCAAGTCAAATTTTGCACATTTGTGAGGAATCATCTTACCTACAACTGCATAATTTCTGTTTAATTTTCCGTTGCTTATTCATCAAGAGGCAACAATTTAATCAACATATGTACAGTGCCGTGATCGCCTTGAACATGGCGGCCTACGGGTTTGGGCATTGTGGAACCATACGTAAGTTGCTAAATGTGATGTCAATAGTTAAATAATGGGCGGAAAATTGAACTGAAACTATGTGCGCAGAGAAGAGATGATTTCAAATTTGCCTGTCAAAATTTACAAAGATCTATCTTAAACTCACTTCATGAAAATTATTTATGCTCCACTGTGATAACATATAAGTCTATGGAAATGACGTCTTGTGTCCGAATACTTTTTGCGCGGGTTTGTATGTCCTTCCTCTGCAACCCTCACTTTGAAGTCCAATAAAATTCTAAAAATATCACGTACACAAATATACTTCACAGTTGTGTATTCTGCGGGAATTTCCTATTTCAGGATACCAGTAACTATTGTCTACATTATTGTCCACATCCACTATTATCTACATCCACTATTATCTACATCCACTATTATCTCAGATAAAGCTAAAGTGCTTAAAATTAATACCCTTTCAAAATAGGCTTCATCGTAAATGTCGCTATTTTTGACACAATACGAAATCACGATTCACAGCATTATGTGCTGTACAGTATGTTTTCAAATGTGAAAATCGGATAATTACTGGGAGTATTGAATTTCGAAAATAACATATTAATGATCATTGAAATCAGTTTTTCATGATATCACTAATGATAAATCTGAAACGCTGCTGGTGAACCTAGAATCGGTTGGGATGTTTTCGAAAATATACATACACGAACGCCATTATTGGATAGTGTTTACAAAATCACGTCTCGAGAAGGCCGGTATTGAGACGCCTATTACATCACGTATATTTCATAGTCAGCCGCGACAAATCCATCACTGAATTCCCCATACATTTTAAAATCAAATTACAACTGGTCTTTGTCACCAATACCAACACTGTCTAGATAAAATGAAACGAAAGATATTGGGTGTGAAAACGAACGCTGTGCTTGGAAGAATGCGCTAGTTTGAAATGTCAACAAACCAAAATTCCGATTTTACACTGCGTCGCATTTTCTAAAATTTTCCGACATTCAGCCGGCTATTCATTGCTTGCAATGGCTCAATGCATTTAGAATATGTATGAAAAGAGTACCATAGCAAGGAAGAGGAAATTATAAATAGATACAATGCAACGATTTGATACTTCATAAGAAAATA